GCGACTACTCCGTTTGCTCGTTTCTCCATCAGTTGACTAAAATCCGATCAATGCAAACATACTTCTGCCTGCATTATCCGAGAGCAAACTCAGCCACTTGAAAAGTATTTAACGTACGAAATTGAGAGTTTTTATAATACACGGCAATGACGTTGAGTTATAATATAATGATAATGTCGCTATGAACGAATTATATATCGAATGAGCTTTCTAGATCTCCGTTTAAAGCATGAAGAATCCTATAATTATTTAAAAAAAAAAAAAAAAAAAAATTAGAACAAGTATAATGTATTCTGTCCTTATTTAATTGTTCGCATTATCTACAGTTCGAAGATACAATTTATAGCATATTCCGTTATAAATTTTCTTTTGCTAGTTTCATCTACGCTTTTCCAGTCCCAACGATTTGGGTTTTCACACTATATAATGGGATTTAAAGAGTCTACTTGCATAGCAAAAATGGTTACTTCGAGTCCTGTAGACCAGTGCCGTACGTTAACGGGCGCCCCGTTAATCCGTATTTGTTATAGATATGGATAAGGCGTGTTTATGGCCCTTTCCGGCAGACTTGTGAACGTGCTCGATCTTGTTCAAACTTTTCACTTTCTCGGTTAATACGGTTCTTGAAAAGAAGCCGATAGTCCCGCAATGTAAATGTGTCACGAATCGGCAATGTCCGTTTATTATTATCGAATCTTGGTTATCGACTTTTAGTAAAGTTAGTATTTTTCTGAAAGGCCAATGTTTGAACAGCATTTATTTAATTAAATATGACCTAGAACGCACGAGATTAACGATTAATTGTTGCATTACATTAAAAAAAAAAAAAAAAAAAAAAAAAAAAAAAAAAATGTATCTCTGAGTACTGACAAACGAATGAATGCATAATTTTACAATATTTTACAAATTTTAAGAATTAATATTGTTGATAACTTATGCAACGCAAAAGATATATTTCTTTTTCTACTTGCTTAGAACCTTCGTTGTTTCATTCATAATAAAATTTCAAATATACCTATATATTTAGACGATTATAGTTTTAACGATTAGACTGTCTTGCAAGTGTCAAAGTGTCAGTGTCTACGAAACTGGCAAAATTGATATTTAACGCACTCAAGAATAATGGATTTTTTTTTTCGTCCTGCAGACCAATTGATTTACCTACTCCATGCGCTAATTATAGCCATTTGATGCGGATTATTAAGTAAATACTTGTGCTTACTCTAAGTGACAAAAATATCTCACTAACAATTCGCTATGAAATTTCGATTTGTACGAGCTCAATGTACTCGATTCGACGTGCTCGAGATTCTTTAGGATCTATATAAAAGCGATTTTTGAAAACATCGTGAGTCGAAGGGATGTTTATGGATTTTTTTCATTATCGACTTTGGAATATCTTGTGCCCATCATGACTGACTTTCAAGACACCTGGAATTTATTGTAACGAACGCTCTTTCACAATATGCTTGTTCTATAATACCATTTCCATTAATGCTGTGGTGTATATAGTATTGGTACGAAGCTACAAATTGGAAATACAGATTGATGAGTTTAGATAGAGGATGCGTAGAGAATTCATTTCATTGCATCGAAATGTAGAGATTTTCTTCCTTGTTAAAAGTACTATAAAACTTAATCGAAAGAAATGTTAATTGGTTAAATAATTTTATAAAATAACCAATTATGAAAAAAAAAAAAAAAAAAAAAACACAGCATACTTTAGCCATTTCCTAATTTTTTTGTATTATATTCAATATAACGTACGAGTTATATTTTTTCTTCATTTTCATTCTTAGGCTGTATAATTTTATATAAAATAATATATAATAATAAAAAGAGGCTTAATTGAAGTAGAGTATACAAAGTAACATATTCGAGATTAATTTAATAATTAAATATGTACAATTATCATTTATAAAGTAAAATAGCCTTTTAATAATTTAAAATACTATAATGGTTATATGAAAATTATTCTTATTTGTATATAATATTCTTATTTAATTTATCATTAGGTGCATAAATTAATAAAATAAAATTTTTTTAATTTCCGTTTACAATGTCTTTTATATTAAAGTAGCGATTATTAATTATAATAAAAATAATACGAAAAGTAATTGACATACTTGGCTGCAGTAAATGAACAACTGTTAAGTCTCTTCGAACACCATAACAAAAATATAACTTAACCAACTGATTACTATAATATTTCATTTTATCTAAAAATATAAATTCTTAGGCGCGTAATGATTAAAGTATAATTTAAAAAATATTGCAACTAGTGAAGCATTTATAAGGATTTAGATGCATGTCCACGGGAAAGCATGAAGGTTTGAATAACCGTAGCCATTAAAAATGTAAACGAGAGAAATGCAAAAAGATAATATACGTAATGTCGAACAGAAAATCAACCAAAAGTAGGAACGTACACATGGAAGTATTATATCCTCAGGAGCCGCACGCGTAAGCGAGAAGGAAATACACGCCCCAAGCAAGGGGCGACGATTGCAAAATCTCCCTCGCTGTATGTACGTAAGCCCCCTGGTAGCCTGCACCCTCTTTCTCTCTTGTTCCTCGCGTGCACGTTCACTTACGCTCGAATGGTTACCCATGGAAACCCAAAAAGGGCGAGCCCCATAATAGCCCCCAGGAGCAGGCAGACGCGCCTCGTGAACCTAGAATCCACCCTCGGTCGAAAACATAGAATAGAGAGAGACATGTAGATAGATAGATAGATAGAGAAAGAGGAGGAGAAAGGGAGCGACCGCAGTCACCGCCCCTCGCATGGCGGGCAAAATTTTATTATTCTTCTTCTGCGTGGATGAACTCGTTCTATCTGAGAACGAATGCGCGAGATTTTTTCCTTGTGCTCATTTACCTCTCTCTCTCTCTCATATTTTTTCTCTGTGTTCACTTCTCTCTCTCTCTCTCTCTCTCTCTCTCTCTCTCTCTCTCTCTCTCTCTCTCTCACTCACTCTCTCCATCTATTTCCGTATCTCTACATATTTCTATTTTTTTTTTTTTTTTTTTTTTTTTTTTTTTTTTTTGGACTCTTGACAGTATGTGATTTATGTAACCGTGTATGTCAATGCACATATGTGAGCACAAAAGTGTGCATTTAAATTACTTGCAATTGTTTTTAACGATAATTTTTCATCCAAGGAGTGAAATACAAATTTTCACAAAAACGGTTAGTATATATTTCATTTAGTACATAGTTTCTTGAAATTGTAGCGATTTTCAAAATTACAAATAATTTAATACTAGAAAATATTTTTCTAATATAAAAAATAATAATTTATTGATATAAATGTCTTATACGATAAAATGTTTTTAAATATTTGACTTTAGATTGGTCTAATTGAACGGGATAAGGCATTTAAAGAATTATTTCAAGAATATTATTGAAGTAAAAAATTGAATTTTTCATAATAATTATTTTAACGTATATAGTTATTGAGAAAACTTACGTAGGGTAAAATTAATAATTAAAATGTAACGAGTGAGAGCAAAAAATAAGAAAAACTGAAAATATAACGAATTTAATTACTTTTTAATCATAACTAAGACCATGCCGAATAGTAATAGAGCACACTGTACTTTTGAATGATATAATATTACATAGGATTTTAATGTAAAATTTACAAAATTTTACATTATCAAAATCCCTTTATTAATACGTTGCTTGATACGATATTTTCGAATAATTTAAATTAATTAAACTTATATTTTGTATTCGAATACAATTTAATATTCTGAATTTCTAAATATATCTTTTAGATATGTGCATATATTTGTACGAAAGTGTTCTATTTTATTTATAATTATTATATTTAGCATAATTGTTTTTTTTTATTTATTTACAATTTTTTTGGTATTTTCGTTAATATTGTCGTATTCTTAAAGCGTAAGTAATTCAACAAGTTGATCAGCAGTGGAAAAATCAAATAAGCGATTATTGCGAGGGAAAGATGGGAATGCATTAACTCGTACGACTAGCATAAAGATTAGCGAGGGGTTGATACTCGAATTACAAGGGGATGACCATTACCTTTCGACCTAAAGTTTCTTTCCTCCACGAAGATATATATATATTTTACGAAAGTGGCGTGGGATAAATTATCTGGATAGAAGTTTTGTAGTCGATGATTGCGAGTAGTTGAGAAGACGTTAAATAGAACCCAATTTATACTCGTTTTACAGCTTATGCTTAATAAATAGAAATAATCTCTTATTTTCTTATTTCAAGCATTAGTGCAAACGAGTGCAAATCAATTTTTATTTTCACATTGTCGTCGTTTAATAGTAAAAATGTTGATAAAGCTTTTAAACATTATTAGAAATTTATTTTAATTATCAATGAAATTTTATCGATTTAATAGCTATTTTTTTTTTTTATGTGGCGAGAACGTCGAAAAGAAATAACAACGTATATTATTAAGATATATCGTATCAGTAGGAAAAGTAATGTCGTTATTATGTGTTAGAGACTAAAATTAACTATAAGAGTAAAATAAGTTACAATAAAAGAAAGCTTAAAATATATGAAATATTCAAGTAGAAATTACGTTTTCATTAATAATTTCTTTTATCAAGCATCAACTGAACTGTTTACCAATTCATTCATTTGCTTTAGCTTGATAATAAATATTTTCTATCTTACCAATTTATATTTGAAGCTATTCCACATCTTTGAATATTTAGACATCGTATTAGATATTTAAAAATATTTTAAGCAATTTTAAGCTGAACAGATGAAATTCGAGATATTTTTATAAATACTTAATATTTATCACTTAATACTCACCTTCGATAAATTAAATTGATAAATGAATCGAGTTACTTTTATTTCTAATAGTTATTACATTTACTCCATTATCTATGGTTAATCATAAACTTTTTTAATGATTTGGATATTGTTTAAATAAAATATTTTATTTATCTTTTGGTAAATGTGATTTATTTATAAAATAGCTGACACTTGATATGTAATCGTCTTATTTAATAATTATGTCTTTACCCAACACTCTGTGTTAAAAAATTAAAAGTTCAAAATGACGATTGCACATAAGGATTCGATTTACAGATGCAACTTAAGTCCTTGGATATTGGTAATATTGGACCCAAATATTTTTGAATTATGGCTGTAAATAAAATTATTTTCATTTATAATGAAATTTAATAATTCTTTAGAATAATATATTTAACATCTATAGTTTAAAAATATTTTCCAATTTTGTTACCGAATTGTGATTAAAAAATCAAATATTGTAATATCAATTAATTTTTCTGTATTTCTTAATTGTTTTTTAAATACCAGAGTTTTGGAACTGCTGACGTCCAGCCAAGAGAACAATACATTTGCAATTTTTATTATTTTGGTCGGAAAATGTAGGCAAGTTGTTTCCATGGATTGATAATAAATTATTATTCATTTTGGAATTCCTTATTTCATCAATAGTCTTCAACTGGCCTAAATTCAATCATTATGAAAATTTAATTTACAATTTACACAAAACTTTTTTTTAATGATTTATTCATGTACGGGGTCGTATGAATATTTTAAACTTATCATCTCTATTTAATCAATAAATTTATACATAAGTTTATATAAAATGTTTATATCATTGTATTATACGACTAATAATATAAGAAATTGCATTGACATTTTTACGCAATGGAACACAGGATAAATTTCCATCAAAATCTAAAAATATCTGTATTGAAAATTGAATTATTTTCATTTATACAATAATTTATATTTAATAAGTAAAAAAATGTTAAAAAGGGTTTTTTTCCATTAAATTAAATACGTGCATAGAATAAAAGTAAATTTTTTTATTTAATTTTGTTTTTCACAATAATTTTTTTTTTATATATAAAATGAATAAAAATTAATTTTAATATATTAAATAAACGTAGAAACGGTTCAAAAAAAAAAAAAAAAACTTATCTTTCATACAATTATATGTATCTTATTAATGCTACAACACACTTCACAAATAGCTTCACTATAGGTATCAAATCATAAAAATCTTTAATTTAAAATTTTCACTTAAACGAATAACCATTACTTTACGAGTAAACGCTCAATTGTGCTAAGGAGACTCTTTTACGAGATGATTTCAATTTACGAACTATTACATTAAATAAAATTATTTTCAATTCTATACACTTTTCCAAACCGGAAAATGTATCTATAAAATTTTAAAAATATGTAATGGTTTTTTTTTTTATTTTTTGTTTTTGTTTAACGTTACAATTAACTATTATTGAATATTTTAATAAATAGATTAATTAAGTATACAAATAAGATTTTAGATATTTAATACGCGTATATGTATAAAATATTTTTTATCCTTTTTTTTCCAATCGTCTATACAAATAAATTAAAGATTATGTGCGTTTTTCAATGCATATATAAACCAATACATAAGATGATTTTTAAATGACTTTTCATATTATTATTTAAGATTCAGTATGAGAATTCTCATATAGTATTTCTAAAGTCAATTTTGTATAATAAATTAATTTTTAAATAAATATGTATAAAATGTGTTAAATATGTCGTATGCCAAATATAATTTAATTTAATCAACATCACATTAATATTATCCACGATTAAACCGTTAAATTAATGAATATATATGCATGAGTATATTATAGGAATCAACATTGGTTATTACCATTCAAAAATAACCAGTTCGGCTCAAGTTCCATTGCTTGTTGTACAGTCATTTTTAAGGGTCGTGGCGAGTCTTCTGCAAAAAAAGTTAATTATAATCAATATTAATGTAAATTGCTTTTACATTTATTATTATTACAAAAATTAAATATAATGTTTAATTTTTGTTATATAATTACATCATTTTTTATAAATTTAATTTCCATTATTTATCAACTATTCAATAAAATGACAATGTGAAATGTAATAAAGTATTTTTGTAAAGAAAAAATATTATTTTGACATTTATCATATATATTATTAATAATAATATATTTTGATCACATATGTGCTATTGACATACCATTAATTGTGTTCGATATTTTATTAGAAAATTTTAATTAATTGTCTATCATATTAACAGTTGATCAATTTTCTCAAGTATGAAAAATATTTTAAACATATCTATTAAAGTACTGAACATTCCTATAATTCTAATCTGATTTCGATGCCGAACTGCCTAACTTAAAAATAGACTTCAAGTGAATTATTTTATTTAATATAATTAATTCACGATTGAATTAATTGTTAAAATTATTTATATTCTTTTTAAAGGCTAATATACAGAAAACTAAAAGATATGTCCTTTTATGTTATAAGGATGCTTTACAAATACAATTTACACTTTAGAAATACAATTAAAAATACTATAATTTCTTTTCAACAAATTACTCTATTAACCATCTTCACGAAATTTGTATTTATGCAGTAATTAAAAAGTTGATAGGCATTTTATAATACTGTTAGTCGTAATTGCTTGCTGTCGAAATAATAATTTATCCTTATTATTAAATCATAATGAAATTATTAAACCATTAATCATTATCACTTTTAGGACATATAATATTATTGTTCTCATTAGATTTAAAATATTACAATTTATTTGAAATATTAATGGATTTGCTCAAATTTGAATGACACATTTGTTTTAAATATTTTAACAATGTTTAAATGTGTCATCGATTTTCATATTTAAATTCGATTTTTGTTACAACAAAAATTATTTATTACTATATCGGTAACAAACATTAGCGTTAAAATATTTTTCATTTTGTTTTAATTCGATTTTAATTTCAACGTATTTTTATCTTTACACCTAAATTTTCATTTTAACTATTTAAATTTATAATCAGAATGTTTTCTATAAATTTTTTTTTTTTTTTTTATTCATATGGTCAATAACTCAACTATATTATATCTTTCTTAAAGCTTATAGATTTCAATAAAAATCATTTAATAAAACGAAATGTCCAATATTTTTTCTTGCCACTTTTATAAATTAATATTTTGTTATGTAAATTAAGTGAAAAGTTTTATTATAATCACATTTTATAAAAGATTCTTTATACTTTTTATAATTTCGAACTGCCCATCAAAGAATATAATAGAAACAGTTATAAAATTGCTTATCTTAAATATAAGATCGTAAAAACATTTAAAAATATACTTCTTACGACGTAATAAATACAAAATAAATTCTTCGTGTACTTTCTTAACTCATGACCTATGTTCGGATAATTCAAATTAGTAATGAAAATTACTAAATTACTAATGAACGAAATTTACAAATCTTGTACTTATTATTTTTACTTTGCAGTTTTCATTTAAAATACGAGAATTTTTATGTGGTAATTATAAATTATGACTTTAACATTAATTAAATTTTTATAAATTATAATATATATCTCTATAATAACATTGAACGAAAATTTTAAATAATACATATCAAAATAGATTGTTACATAAATTTTAATTTCATGTCTACTTTACATATGAACTACATAACGTAATGATTTAATTATTAATTTGTAAAAGATTTGTTATCGTGAAATGAATTTATTTTATATAAATAAATAAATATATATATATATATACATATATTTGTGCGTTTACAAATCAGCACGACCATATATGAACTAAATATAAATTTATGTTATATAACTTTATTAAATTCTCTTCAATCATAATTTTATCGATCATTTCATATTTAAGAATCCAAAAATACGTTTAATTAATTAAAGTCATAATGTAGAAAATACGCACTTTTGATTAAATAATATCTTATAAAAAAAAATATAAAAAATATAAAAACTATATATATTTATTTAATAGAAACAAAAATAATTACATTCACAGTGTTAATAAATTTAAATAGATTACTACAAATTTAGATAATTTTACTTTATTTGAATGTAATTTAACAATATTAAATATATGGATATAATGTATTAAAAAATTTTTTTTCTATATTCTTTTTAGTTTATCTGAATACAAATTTAATCAAATGGTGTATAAAAAAATTTGAAACATCTAATGTAAAGATATGTTTTTGTAAAGACTAATGAAAATCCATAATGAAAACTGTCTCGAATATTGAAAATAAACTAAAATATTTCTTTTATAATATTTATGATTATAATATTTCTTACCTATTTTCCTTAATTTTTCTAAATTTTGAAGAATATCTAACTGAGGTGAATGATTATAGTTGTTAATATCTGTAATACCATAAAAAAAATTATAGAATTTTATATAAGATCTATTTGTACAAATACTAATATTTTATAACGAATTATAGAAAATTAATATTTATAAATACTATATTTAACAAAAGTTTTACAAAACATATAGAATGTGCGAAGTATCGGTTAATGTAATGTTTTCTATTAGACATTATTGATATATTTTACTCGTGTACATTACGTTATATACTTACTTTCATTCTCAAATAGTTTTTCATTATCATCCTGTATTGTTGGATCTGTTAATTTCGACTTTGAATTAATTGTATTTTGCAAATTCAAGTTATTAAAATATTTTTGCATATTTGTTTGTGGCGTTGCTGATATATCCAAATCTATAATATTATACCCATATTTTTTATTAAAAAATAAAAGTATTTATTATTTTAAAATATGTTAATGTTTTATTTACCATCTTCTGTTTTTTCTTTTGCAAAATCATCCATTTCATTAACGTCTTCTACATAAGAAATATTGCTTATAAAATAGAAAATCTAATAATTAGTTGGGCATCGTAAGTAAAATATTACGAAGCAATCGTTATTTACAATAATGTTTTTGCAACAAATAAATTTCATAAGTGCAATTAATTGATATGACAAAGAGCAATTAAAAGTGATATTATAGTTTTTACTTTACAGAATAATTACAATTATTTTAATTATAAGAAGTTTATATATAATAAGCCATTTCATTAAAATTAAAATGTCGTTTCAACATTCTTCTTTTTTCACCTACTATTGAGTATTCACCTACCATTATTAACATCTTATTAAAGATATTGTATTTGTTATTTCGTTCTTAATCATATAAAACATTTATTTCTTATAATAATATATGTTGTGATGGGGAATCGAGTATTATGAAATCTTAAACGAATAAATGAAATAAATTAGATGGTCAAAATTAATTTCTATCGTTATTAAAATTATGAAATGAAGTTAATGATGTACTTCTTTTATTTAAATAAAAGATGTTATAGCAACATTACATACCTCCTTTTGACGAGGTGTCCTTCACATTCGACCTTATCATAATATCTGCGGATGGTACAAATCCAGGTCCTGTCCATGTTGCAATTTCAGCGTCTTGTAAAGTAGGAAATTTTAATTTAATGATATCCGCGATTTTTCAGTTACATAATAAACTCATACTTTGACTTATTGTAGAAATTTTTTCACACATTTATAAGGCATTTATATTTAATTATTGTGGAAGATGTGGATAACCGATGATTTTAAAATTACTTACCAAAATTATATTGCAACTTATAAGAAAATAAAGTATTATAAAAATATTTATCACACCATTACTTAAAAAACATTTACCTTCACTTATTACTAAAGTGCATATGCAAAAACACAAGTAGAATAATAAATAAATCATATTTAGAATACTGGAAATAGTACGAGTTTTCTTTTTATAGGAACAGAGTCAAGTTATAGTTATACTAAAATAATACGGTACGTGATTTAATAGTACACGTCCTTCTGGTTTCATACACGCTCTCAATTTTATGACTTAATGATTTAGATATAAGGAAACATTAACAAAATGAACGCATTTGAGCTTTTAATGCGAATTTACAAAATATAGAAAAACATAGAATGTATGCACTATCAATGGACAATATAACTTTTGTTAATATAAATAGATAATAATTGTATTATCAAACATGAACATTGATAATTGGAATTTAATTATTAGTGCTTATATAAAACTTTACTTATTTATATTTAATATTATACGTATATATTTTGATAAATTAGATTGCTCGCCATTTAATTAAGCGAGACAATGTTAAAATTTATGAGTAGAAGTTTTGCCGGATATCTCAAGCACATTTCACCTCTCATTTTCAAAGGTAAAAGGAAGAAATGCATAGGACGATTTTGAGAAATAATAGAAGGAGGAGATCGACGCGCGTGTGCATCTACGTAACTGTCATGTTACCTGTACAAACAATACTTGTTTCGTCGTGTGCCATGTATAAAAGGACCTAAGAAAAGTGCGTGCGCGCCACGGCAGTTACAGTTATTCTCTTCATTGTGGAAATGTTATGTCGTTACTTGTGCGCGCGGATACGTACAGAGAAAGAGACAGAACGACGAGGCTGACGAGGATTCTTAAGAATATCATTGCATGTAAAGGCGATAGAAAAGCAACGAGGTTGGCAGCTCAAAAATTTCGAGAATGGAGACACATGACTCTAGAATAATAAGTTTAACTTGAAAAACATGACGACAAGGAGATTGTAGAATTAAAAAGAGTGTAAGAAAAAAGGAGAATAACAGGAGAGATAAGTGGAACGTGGAAAATTATAAATCGCATACAATAAAAATTCATTTTATAAACAGTTAAGTAAAAAAAAAAAAAAAAATTTTTCGTCATATCAATGTTGAGCAGCAGTAATGCGAACAAACTTAATAGGATTAGAAATCTCAGTTTTTTAAGACTCACCAGTAAAGGATTAAATAAAGTAATGCTCTATTACAGTTTCTATTTGTTTAA